TATATATATATATAAAGCACTAAAATCTGTAATAACAGTTTAAAACATCATCATCACAAAATTTTTAAAAGTTAATTACATATTTTTCATATGTAAATACTACAAGTTGAATAAGTGCATTAAGTTATTTGTCTAGTTAAACATATCTTATTTTGCCTGAGCTCTGGACAACACTAATCAAATAACTTTTGCATAAGTTTAGCCACATTAATCAAAGTCAATTGAAACTGATTTGCAAAACAATGCATATAATGAGCTGAACAATTATCATTTATGTTCCAAGTCTTTAATTCATTGAACTCACCACATGATGCTTAATTCGTGATTTACGAAAATAGCTTCTATTACTTTTGTAACTATTCGAGCATAAGTTTCATAAACATATAATATCCCAATAAAATGCTAAATATTATTTATCAAATAAAGTATTTACACATCTAATATCTAATCTTCAATTTTATACATATGACCCCTTATCTACATATGAAAATGTATCTCACTCTTTTAAAGTTAAAATGATGGTATTATTCATGTGATATAAAATATTTGGTTGGTATAATTGCCAAATGTAAAATTTAAATGTTAGATATGCAAATACATAGGAATTGGGTAGTATGTATGTAAATGTCAAACAAAAAAAAATGTTGTAGTATGCAACTAAAGAAAACAAAGGGGGCATTTACATACATGCTGCCCAATTCATATGTGTTTGCATGACTAACATCCAAACTTTAATATATATTGTTAATCTTGATTTGTCTGTGAATCACACCCCAATGGTTAGTGTAAGAAATGAAAGAAATAGGAAAAAATTTGCGTGCACCGCGATGCACCAATCGCGACATTTTTTTTTCTCAACCACGATTGGTGCATTGCGGTCGTTCTGCGTCCTGGCAACGTACGAATTTTTTTTTTCAAGGAATAGAGAGGCATGTAAGGAAATGAAGAGTGCAATGTATTGTCTATCAACAGAAAATGATCTTCCTATTTATATTGGAAAAGGTATAATAGGTGATATTACATTTTTGTTACTTCTCTAAGGGATTCATTATAGATATTTTAGGTGTTTTACATGTGCACCCTTATTACTCGGATGTCTTATATTTGGGTTGGTTGGGCTATCATGACTTTGGCTCGATAATGCCAACGCAGCCAGTCAATTGGATATCAACTTTGATCGAAAATACTAACTTTTTCAGCTAGACTTTGACAATCGATTGATCTAGTCTGACTGTTGACCCTCAATTTCTAGATGAGGACTTCCTACTGATAGAACAAGAGTAGGTTATTGAGTAGTGGTGGATCACCGTAACTCGATATACATTTCATTCATTGACGAGAGAGGTCCTCCGAGACGATTGTAAAACCTTGTTATATGACTAACTTTTGATCCCGTATATGGAACCACGAGGGCATCCTTGAGACATCTAGTGATGGCAAGAAAACAGACTATCCTTGAGTTGGATCTATTGAAAAGTAGGTTGATAACTTTGCTAGTTTTTCTTGTGGTGGTTAGCCTAGGTGTTGATCTGTCGGTTCAAGTCCGATCAATCTGAGCATAAATCATTCTTTTTGTACTTCTCACAGCTAAATTGACCATCATCACTTACACGAATGACTGCATACAATCAAACAAGTGGGGCTTGGTCTTCTGTTGGTGAACCCCCCACCCAAAAAATTTATATCTACTTATCTCACACAAAAACTTTCATTATTACAAATATCATATGAAAAATAACGCTCATTATCATATTTTAATAGTTAAATTTATAGATAAAGTGTTATGTGTGTAGAAATGAAACTTTAACTGTGAGATATGTAAGTCCATAAGAATCGAGCATCATGTATGTAATTTTTCCTAAAAAATATTGTCATTTTAAGTTAAAAAAAAGTAAAATGTAATTTTTTTTTTTATGTGGTAAATACATAAAAGAACTGAGTGGCATGTAGTTTTTCCTAAAAATAGAAGCCCAACAAAGCCTTTGTTGAGCTTAGGGTTTCCACCGCCGAAACATCCGCGCTCCCTGATCGATCATGCCCATAAATCGCTAATGCGGATGGGTTCCCCTTCTTCCAAATTACGAATGCTCTCTTCTCGCAATTGAAGCATTCTCAGTGCATAGCAACGAAGACAGCAAATTCGCATCGCTACTCGGCTCGCCATTGTCCAAATCCTGTAATTCACTCCTCACTTTGCTCTCGGCATCATCACTCGTCATCATGTGTTTCTCTTTGATGATTATCTCATTTTCTGCAATGTTCCGAGCAAAGGGTGAATATCGGTAATGGCGATGTCAAAATATTTTCTATGAAGAAGCTTTTGCTCAGTGTGACTATATGCTACATCATAATGGCAGTTTTTTTTTGCTTTTTTTAATCAAATTTTTAGGTGTAGATTATTGCATTTATGAGTTTTTCTTTGATTGAATGGATAATTTGGTTTGTTTGGTGTTTGAATAGTATTTTTTTTTCTCTTTTGGTTTTCTGTCGTTGGAGGGAGGAGAGATTTTTAGGTGATTTATGGGCCTGCATGTTGGCCATGAAGCGACCAATTTACCAATCAAGTTCCTGTATCACGAAAATGTTTATGTTCTATTGGATTGTTCATCTGTTACTAATATATATATA